ATAAGTTAAAATCCCTATTGCTGGACCACATTTTCCCAGTGAAATTTCAGGTCAAATTCAACTCAATGATCAGAGCTGCCGTGCTGTGAATCCATTCTTCGGTTGAATAAACAAGCGTCAACATGCAACTATGGTGATCGATTGGAAACACAACTTTGTGATCGTCTCATTGCTGGAATCAACAATATCTCATTACAACGTAAGATGTTGGAAAAAAAAGATATCGCATTTACTGAGGCTCGAAAAATCTGTGGGCAAAGTGATGATTTGTGTGCTGCCACAAATGCGGATACTCCTGTGTTATTCCATCGGCGATCGACGAAACCATTACGTGGGGCACCCAATATTCATAATTCACCCCAGGTTTCTCAAGTACCCAATCAAGCCGTACACAACCGAAGGCTGCGAGCAACCGCTGCTTTTCATGTGGTGAATACCATTTTCGTTCGACTTGTCGATTCCGCAATGTCACTTGCCATGCATGCGGTAAGATGGGCCATATCCTCAAGGTATGCCGAATGCCCAAGTGCAACCTCATCGATTCCTATATCCCAACGGCAGATAATAATTCAAGCCCAATCTAAACGCTGCACACCACTGAACCCAACGGCCAGTTCGTGTTCACTCCACTGAGGTTCGAGTCTGGTGTGGAGCATCGATTCATCATGGACACAGGAAGCAGCGAATCTATCCTACCGAAATCAGCACTCACTGTGATTTATCTCAATGCTGTTCTAGCCCCGACTTCAGTGCGCATTCATGGGGCTACCGGCCATAAATTGCAATTACTCGGCAAACGATGTTTTGCGTACAATCTAAATCCGGTATGTCAATCCCAATCCGATTCCTGGTATCAGCCCACAGTCCGTCTATTCTGGACCTTCGAACAATGCGGCTACTACAAGGATCCATCACTCTACATACCAACAACGATATGTTAATCACTTCACATCTTCAAAATTTGATTGTACAGCATTCCGGTAACGTTGATGGTATGAAAGAAAGTACCGTCGGTGAAGTCGGAAGTGGACGGTGAACCTATTTTCCTAAAACGACGCGTCCTCCCATACGGTCAAGGGGAAGGTGTCCTGAAAGCATTACAGAAAATGGAGCAGGATGGCGTGAAGTAAAGTTGAATCCAGTGCCTGGGCGACCCCGATTGTCGTGGCGATGAAGAGTAATGGTAGGACACCACGGATCTGTGGAGACTATCGACTAACGTTGAATCCCAGATTGCGGAGATGTGCAGCGATCACCATGGAACCAGATTATTTCATGAAGTCATTGCATGGGTGCCAGTATTTTTACAAGATCGATTTGGCGGACGCATACCTAAAGATTCCACTCGATGTCGAATCTCGCTACTTTACAACAATCAACACGCCGTGGGGCATGTACCAGTATGATTTTCTCCCGTTCGGATTTCATGTGTCTTCTGACCTCTTTCAATCGGCAATAGACAGTGTAATCACAGGCAGGACTCGACGGTGTGCTTGCATATCAAGATGACGTCCTCATTTTCGGCCTTAATAAGGAAGAACAGAATGCCCGACTTACGCAGCTACTGGAACTGTTCGCCGCCAGGAACGTGGCTATCAAGCCGTCCAACTGTGTGTTTGGTGTGATTAAACTGGAGTTTCTAGGATTCACAGTTGATTCCCGTGGATACCGGCCCGATCCGACACGTTTAAAACTATTGACTAACATCAAATCTCCAAGGGATCAAACGCATTTGAGTTTCGTGATGGAATGCCTATAGTACTATTCCCGATTTATACCTAACTTTGCTACAAGGGCGCAGCCGCTTTTTCGTGCTCAGAGTTCAGACGTTTGGGAATGGTCGGTGAAGTATTAAGATATCCTATGTGGTTTCATTCGCTGCGTTACTAACCGTCCTGTTTTGGCCCCGTTTTTACAATCAAAACCTACATTACTAATCACCGATGCGTCCGACGTCGGAATCAGTGCTATATTAGAACAAGGGGGATGCCCAGTGATCGGCATTTCACGTCTTCTCAATGCGGCAGAAAAGGGATACTCGCACACTCAAAAAGAAGCGTTGGCTGTATTTTGGGCTGCTCGACGATTGCACAAGTACCTTTACGGATTGCAGTTTACCATCCTCACTGATCACCAAGCGCTACCGTTCTTGTTCAACCCCAACAAATCCATCGCAAATTTCACTGCTGTGCTACAGAGGTACAGCATCGCCCTAGTCGAATACAACTACGAAATCCAACATCGTCCAGGAAAGACAATCCCGCAGGCTGATTTCCTCTCTCGCTACTCACAATTTTCAGAGGCCGAGCAGTGTCATTTCATCTCCCCAGCATCACCAGTGTCTCGGAAATCTTTATGCAAATATACCAAGCAGTACTACTCGTCCATACTCTCAGCGATCTAGAAAGGCTGGTCACTAGAGGTAAAGAGAAAGTATCCCCAGTTCTTTGCTCACTGAGAGTAGTTGTCAGTGCAATTGGATGGTGTACTGTGTCGCGACGATCGATTGATAATCCCACTGCCACTACGGAAGACGGTACTGGATGAATTGCATAAAGGACATATGGGAGTGGAGAAGATGGAACCATTGGCTCGACAGATGTGTTGGTGGCCGGAGTTGGACGCAGGCATTGACGCAACAGCCAAGAACTGTGAGTCATGTTTACATAAACTATGAACAAGGCCGAAAACTTGACACCATGGCCGGAAAGTTACATACCATTGTAAAGGATTCATTTGGATTTCTGTGGTCCATTTCTGAACCGGTATTACGAGCTTGTTCTGATCGATTCATACTCCAAATGACCAGAGGTATTCTTTACAACTACTCTTACCACATCATTTGTGATACTACGGAAATGTTTTAGTCGTGAAGGGATTCCACAAGTTCTTGTGACGGACAATGGATCTCAGTTCTGTGCGATCGAAATGAAGCTTTGGATGGACGGCATCGGTTACCGACGTCTTCGAACTGTGACACGCCACCCCTGTTCTAATGCAGCGGCAGAGAATTTAGTCAAAACGGTCAAGAGTGCGATTGCGTCTGCCAATCCTCAAATGCTACTTAAATTGGAAACGTTGATGGATAACTTCCTATTTCCATGCCGAAACGCAACACACAACCTCCAAGGAGAGCCCGGCAATGCTTTTTAAATCCAGATGCTTGCGATCCTCCTTCGATTCCAGTGACGTCGTATACTTCCGTGTTAATGATTTGCGACCCGCGTCTGGTACAGTCACACGACAACTGGGTCAAG